GGGGGGGGGAATGGATGACTGGGCAGTGGGGGCGGGGGGGTGATGACCTGGGCAGTGGGGGAGGGGGATGATGACCTGGGCAGTGGAGGAGGATGGAGGACCTGGGCAGTGGGGGAGGAGGATGGATGCCCTGGGCAGTGGGGGAGGGGGACAGATGACCAGGCAAGGGAGGCGGAATGGCCTCTGGAGCCTTTGGTAGGTTTCTCACCACAGGCTTGTGCTGTGACTGGGCTGAGAGGTCAAGGGCACTTCTTACTCTGAGCTGGCCCCCCCAATTGGTAAGCCGATGTTTAGTTTGAACACCTTTACCTTTTCCCCATACATCCATCTCAGAAAACTTCTAAAGGTGTTTCCAAATTAAAGAGAAAATAGTGGTATTTCCAAATTAAAGGGAAAAAATCTGATAACTGAATCGATCAGCCAACCCTCCAGGCAGCCCTGCACGGCCCTCTCCCCCCTGCCCTCACTTTCCTCCCTCACAGCCCCTGCCTCCAGCTGGAGAATGCTCCCTGCTGCTGGGGGCCATGGTTTGAATGGGCCCACCCGGATGGCCCAGGACACTATCCGGGCAGTAAGGGACTCTCCTTAATCGCATCTGCAAACTCCCTTCGCCACGTCATGCAGGACCTTCACAGGTCCTGGGACGAGGGCATGGACCTCTTCCTACCCCATGAACCAATCGAACCAATCGAGCTCCATGGAGATTCATGCTTGGCAGGTCTGTCCCAAACTGAGGGCAGGCTGACCTGTCTGTGCACACAACTTGCCCCAGGCATCCTGGAGAACACGGCAGGAGACACCCCAGCCATCAACACAGAGGCGGCTCTCTGAAGTTCCTCCCACTTGGCACCACAACATCCCCTTCCCCTATCCAGGGATGAGAAAGATCCCAGACAAACAGGAGGGATTTGACCGACAGCCAGGTTACAGCTGCCTTCCCAGGGAGGCCTGCACTTCTGCCAGTTGTGCAGGGACCGCAGCCCTGGACCTCTACTAGACCATGTGGCCACGTGAGGGCTGACCTGTCTGTCCATCCTCTCGACGTGCCTGGGTGTGGACCAGCAGGTTTCTCTGCTGCCCGGTGTCAGTGGTGGGCTTGTCCCTTGCCCACCTGGCTCCTGTGGCTTGGCCAGGTCCTGCCTGCATCTTCTGTGTCCTGATCTGGGTGACTTTCAGGGCTGCAGCGTCTGGGAGAAACTCAAGAGGCAGATGCCAGCTCAGGGCACACATGTCCACAGGGTCATGCCCTTGGCCCTTGGGGGCCCCCAAGCCTCCTCCCTCCTCACCAGCTCAGCAAAGCCCCAAGAGAGATAGCCTTGAGCCTTTCAAACAGGGAGGGACGTTCAGGATATCTGGTCTACCATACTCAGCAAGGGAAGTCTGACAAATTCCTAAGGATGTCTACAGATTTCACAAGTATCTTGAAGCACATTTCATGGCACACTTTACTGTACATTTAAATAGCATCAGAGCCCTGAGGGAGACGTGCTCAGTCACCACCCAGGATGGGAACTGCTGAGGGCCATCCCTCCTGGTCCTGCGCTGCTGAGTCACATGTTCAAGGGTGTCCAAAACCTTGGCCAGGCAACAACCAGGGGTCCCGAAGGCCCAGTGGGGCCCACAGTCCCTGCTTCTCTGGCCCCTGAAACTGGCGCCATTGGTCTGGGCGCTGAGCCTGAGCTGAGTCCAGCCATCTCAGCCAGAGCCTGGACCCTGAGGTCAGAGGGCCACAGGCCCATGGCCCATGAGCCGCAGGAAGTCCCACAGCCAGTGGATGTGGGGGCCCCTCCAGTCATCACACATTCGACCACTGAAATGAAGGTGGCACAGGAATCGAGGGGTTATCTTCTCAGAGTGTCAAAGACCATGTGGTTCGCGAGCACGCTCTAGATGTAGAACTCTCCTTCTGACACAGGACATGAAGTGTTTACTGCCAGGCCGGACACAGAACAAGTGGGCAACACGCCGGTGCAGGTGTATCCTCAGGGGCTCGACATGACCTCCGGCTACTTTAGAAAGCCCCCCAACACGTGCCCAAGGTCCATTTTCCACCCCTGAGGTAAGAATCGCTACTTGGGATCTGGAAACAGAGGAGAGGGGTGGGGGGAGTCCTGTGACTCCCTGCCCCGGACACCCGGCCCTTCCTGGGCCACTTTTTGTTAATGGTTTCTCTTTACTCCATGCCCCTCTCAGACCCTGGCATGTGTCCGGGCCACATCCCCTGGGCTGGTCAGAGGAAACGAGTGTTATCACTGCAGATTTCAAGATTCAAGATTGGTAAACGTCCCTGGGAAAGACAAAAACAGACAGAACCAAAAGCCCATCCCCAAGACACTACCCTGTGGTAGGTTCCGATATTCCCAGAAAGATCCAGAACATATAGCTGCCTCTGTGGGCCCCTAGTATGCTAATCTGAGAAGGCCATACTTTGATATTGGAAAAAATATCTTTTTTTCAACAAGGAAGTAAGACTTATTGCTCTCAGCTTGTTGCCTTCTGGCCAGAAAGGGCATGTGCAGGCGTGGTTTGCACCGGCGCACACGGACGCCTGAGAGGACAATGTTACCTGCTCGTCCAATAGGTGGGTGTTCCTTACCTGGGAGGGAACGAGATGTCCAGTTCATACAGTCTGTCCTTAAAAACAGACAGCTCTTTGTCAAATTCTAAGAGCTAAAGAAAACAAACAGAAAAAAATAAAGTCACTTTGGTTTACTTATCAGGGGCATCGAGAAGTCCCTGGGGGTGTGGTGGTCTGTCTGCAGCTGGGACCCTTGCAACTTCTGGGAAACACCCATGGCTCAAGCATCCATCTGCTCTGCACATCGCATGGTGCATGCGCAGGCCACCCTACTGAAAGCCGCGCTGTTGTGTCCCCAGAGATCTGTGAGCGCCCAGCAGGCCTTTCTGCCTGTGAAGCTGTGCTCCGCCTCCAGCTCCTCTGCAGCAGGCACTGGAACCTGCACTCCTGTTGCTGACTAGCCACCAGGGCCGCCTCACCCTGCTGAAACCACGCAGTGCAGTGGACACAGCAGGGCTGGCGTCTTCTCGGCAGTGCCTCACACTAAGGCAGTGTCCAGCAGAGGGGACACAGCTCCCGTCTTGCCCAAACGAAGTCAGAGAGTAAGCAACGTTGACCTCGCATAGGAAGATAACAAATGGCCTGAGTGTGCACACAGGTGAGACTCCAGCAGCAAGCCTGGCCGTGAGCGCTGGTTTCTACACGCAGAGGAGACAGAATGACCTGGCCCCGCAGAACTCTTTATAGATAAACCCCACAGGGCGCTGTGCCTGCAGAAGGCAAGGGACACCACCGGCAGCATCTCTGACCACCCTAGGCTGTGTTGAGCCGTCACCATGCACACCCTCGGGACGTGTTCATTAATCATGTCCCCTCTCAGCTGTGTGGGAGCCCCCCTCAAAGCCACACCACGTCCTCTCTCCTCCCTGCCACCTCATCCATCACTCCTGAAGCGTGCAGTCAGCAGCGTCGTGTACCAGTAATTACCCCTGTGCCAGGCTGCTACCTGAGCCACCTGCACACAGCCCTCCCCTGAGCCCTGCCCGTACCAGGCAGCATCCAGCAGGCCACTCTCCTCAGGGCGGGCCGGAGGAAAACAGCTGAGCTCTCCACCAGGAGATGTCTGTGGCCTTCACGGTTTGAGAGGGGTAAACCAACGCTCCTTTTGCACAAATGGGACCATTTCAGACACAGCTGCCTAATTTCAATCTCACACATTCCTGCAGAATCCTGGACACTCAGAGGAGGAGTCACAAAGAGCCTCAGACCCTGTCTGGTAAGCTCAGAACCAGGGTTGGGGCCGGGACCCCCGAGTGCCATCCAAGCCCACAGCTGCTGGTGAGAAACGCTGGGGCAAAGCTCACCCCGCTCAGCACTGCCCCTGACACCTGCAGGGCTGGGGAACCTGGAGTGGGGAACCCGGGGTGCAGCGCCAGGAGGGGGGCATAGGATGGAGAGGGGCAGCGTGGGGGGGTGCAGAGCAGCTTGGCTTTCACGGCACCAAACGGCCTGACTGCTTCCACGTCAAGGGAAACTCTAGCTCCACTTCCAGGGAGGACTCCAGGCCAAACAGCTTCTGGAAAGTTCTGGTGTCATCTCCTCAGTGGGGCTGGGACGGAGAGGAAGTCTCCAGGGAAGGAGAGGCACCTTCAAGGGTGAAGTGTCACGTGGCATCTGGACCAATCCTGCACCCACATGGCAGTGTGTATTTGTGCTTACACGTGTGTATTTACACATATGCATGTACTTGTAGACACACTCACATTCACGTGCACACACAAACACGGGCCTATAAGCGAGTATCTTATCTAGGTCATTCTGAAGCCTGAGTTCTTGGCCTAACCTGCTCAGAGGCGGAACAACAGGCCCCGATGGCAGTGCGGGGCCCGCTGCCGACGGGGCTGGGGAGGCTGCTGGCTCCAGGCAGGTGCTGATATGGTTTTGACCATCACAGTCGATAAGAAGAGGAGGTGGCCTGTCCGAGGTGAGAAGCTGGGCTTTTCTGGAAAGGACCAGTGCGAAGCATCTAGAGGACAACTGTGGAGAGTTCTGGGGGCCGCGGCTAATCGGCCATTTAACCAAAACACTGCCAGCAGCTTCCTTCCATTGCAATGACAGTTTCAAGCATTTGGGAAAGCACAGACGGTGAGAGTGCCCGTGGTTCACCCCTCTAGAGTCGCCAAATCTAATTTCTCCCACCCGTAACTCAGACTCTTACAGGAGAGATGAAACGTCCCAGGGACAGTGCGTCCTGTGCGGACCCCTGCCTGACCCAACTCATCTGCCTCCTCCCCCAGCGGTGACCGAGCTGGCACGGATGTTCCATGTGGTCACTGCACATGCGTGTGTCCACCACACCTTGCAGTGCTTTCCATGTCCTAAGACTTTACACTGATGTTGTCCTTCCTTCTTTATCTGGCCCCCGCTCCTGAGCACAGCCGCTCCTGGTTCAGAGCATCTGCTGCTGGGGCCAGCTGTCTCCATCTGGGTGTGAACGTTATTTGTGTTAGTCTGGCCAGCACACCTGAAGCTCCGGTTGGCAGCGTGTGCTCTTAGCTTCTCCACCAAATTACTCCACTATCATCTGGCTTATGTCACCGCTGGGGAAGCTGGCTGCCACTGTCACTCTTGTAGGGTGATCTGACACTTTCCTCAGGTTGCTTTTAAGTCTCCTTTTTATGTGTGGTGTTCGCTGTTTCACTCGGACGTGTCCTGCTCAGGACCCACTGTGCTCCTGATGATTATCTTCCATCACTCTGTCATCAGCTCTCCAAACGTCCCCCCATCACGACCTCCTGCTAGAGTCTGCCCTCCCGCCTCCGCCTCACCTGGTCACATCCGCCGCACCTTCACACGTCGGACTGCACTGGGCCACTCCTCAGCTCTCTGTCCACCTCATAAATCCCTCTCCAGCTGGGTCTGCTCTACCACTTAATTCATCCATGGAGATTTCCACTTCAGCGACTATACTTCTAGAAGTTCTGTGTATTTGTTTAATCTGCTTGCTTTTTTCAGGGTATGGTATTTGTGTTTCTGATTCTTTCATGTTTTTAATATTTCAAAATATTATTTTATAATTTCTATCAATTATTCAATTATTTGGTGTTCTCGAGGGTCCATCCCACCTACGTTGTATCTCTGGGCTCTTGCTATTGTGAAACGCTTCCCTCCCCATTCTGCATTTGGGACTATAAGCTTGTCTTTAGTGGACCTTCATTTGCAGAAGCCTTTACAGGTGTGGCAGTGAATGTGGGGCCTGCCTTCCACGAGACTGCCATCCAGAGATAGGAAATAGCAGACAAGGAGCCAGGCTCTTAAAAAACAAATACTCAGAATTGTCACCTCAAGTTACAAAGTGTTGAGACAGATACTTAACTCTCTTCCTTACACTTTGAAGGAACTCCCAGAACAACCTTGGACATCTCCAAGGCCCCAATCTCCAGAGAAGGATGCAGATAGCAGACTCGGCCTCAGCAACTGGCTCTGGCCAGCCCGGGCCACAGCCAGCCACCCGCCCTGACTTGCCCAGCTCCAGCCTCTCACACACAACAGCCAGAGAGAAACTTCTGCAGCCTCAGATCTGTCGGTCCCCGCTCCACCCTCAACAGCTCCCGCTCACTCAGACTAGCCCCCAGAATGGCCCTGGCCACAGCAGGCAGCGAGGGTTGTGGGGCCTGCCTGCCCCTCCCCCCAGTGCCTCCCACCCCCTGGTGGACACCCCCAGCCGGTCTCTCCTGCTCCCTGCATGGTGCTGCTCACGGCGCCCACTCGTGCCTGAGCTGAGGGTGCTGACTGCCTGCTTCTCCTGTCCCTGCCAGCCCATGAGCCCCATGGGGTCTGTGTCCATTCTGTTCCCCCAGAACAAGGCCTGGCTCCGAGCAGCACCCAGTGAGAAGTACTGGTACTTTATTTTACACAAATGCAAAAACTACTAAAATTCTCTCAGGAAATGTGAAACTACACCTAGACACCCTGATTCTTTCTCTGAAAGTGGGTTCTTCTTCTACATTTACAATGAAGATGCAAAAGTCTCCTCTTTAAAGGAAAGATCGCCGGCTCCAGCCATGGACCTGACCCTGGACTCCTTCTCGAACTCTCTGCGAAAGGACTCTGGACGAAGGACTCCATTTCTACTCTTTGGCAGGGGTTTCGTGCATACATGTGTGCGAACACACGTGTACATGTACATGCACACGTTTTGTTTTGTTCCAAATACACTTTGTTTTGTTCCTAAATTTCTGAATGAGCTGAGAGACTATAAACCAGAGTCACTGCTGGTCACCTTCACGTCTGTGCTGTGTGTCTCACCGCCACACGGCTCTCAGGCCCATGACCAGCTCTGAGGACACTCTCGAGGGGACTGGAGGGCAAGGCGGCTTCCACAAGCTGTGTGTGTGCACCTGGACATGTGTGCGCACCTGCACAGGGGTGCCCAAGTGTGCACGTGAGCACACGTGTGTGTGAGCACGTGTGGGCGTGGCTATTGTCACTTACTGAACACTGCCCTGTTTTAATTCAGCCTCAAAAAGAGACCTACAAAGCCTTGCTGGGCTCCCGGGGGCCTCCTCAGTGGTCAGAACCTGCCCAGAGGGCGTCCACCTGGGCATCGTCCACAACTGCTGCTGCGAGGGTTTGCGGGAACTTCCTAACTAAAGAGCAAACCACGAACACACACATATACACGCTCCAGTATGCACAGCCTCACAGCAGGTCATGAGAGAAGCTGAAACCTCCAGGAAGAGAGCTGGTGAGGCTCTGGCCAATTGGCGGACTTAACTCTTCCCAGCAGGACTGCCAGCCTCACTGTCCGGTCCTGTCGGGCGGCAGCATTTAGGGATGGAGCCACTGCCTCTCGCCACTTCTCCACTTGTTAGGGTGTGAAGTAAAAAGAAAGCAAATGAGCATCTGGTTTGGAATGAGCGTGAATCTGCCAGCTGCTAGAACAGCAACAGAGCCACTCAGGGGAGGACCCAGACCTTCAGGGTCTCGGTCAGCAACCCGTCTCCACCTGTCCTCTGTCTCTGTTGCACGCCCATGCACCACCCCCACGCACAGGGTCCCGAGCCCCTGTGCTGAAACAGACTTCTCTGGTGGCCCTGCCCTTAAAGCACCCACTGGTGTGCTAACGTGCCCGTCTGTTAAGATGGAGATGTTCTCAAACACGAAGACTTATTCCTTCTGATTCAAAACAGACTTACTAAGCATCCGCTGTGTGTCAGGCACTGAGCTAGACACTCTGGCAAAGGCCATGGACATCTTCACCTTCCTGGGGGACATCTTCACCCTCCTGGACCTTCCGGCGGGCGAAGGCAGAGGTCAGTCCCACAGCCCCACAAACAGAAGAAACCTGCGCGATGATAGCTGCGGCCTGCGTGCTGCAGCATTTATTTCTAAACCCCAGTCCGGCCCATCAGATCCCAAGGTGGGCTGCCCGCGGGAGGGTGGGCGCGGGAGGTCGACTTGTCCCTGCTCTCTGGCTGCTCTGACAGGTTGGCGGGACCCTCCCACTGAGGGACCAGCAAGGAGACAGCGCCCGAGGCTCCACGGCCTGGGCAGTCTGCTCACGCCCTGCGTCCACACGAAATGATGGGAGTGGAGGCACTGCTACAGGCTCGAAACACCAGACGGGCGATGTTTCTGAGGAGAAATTGTGTTGCATTTCTGTTGAAATGATAATTTGTATCTCTTTGAGATTTTTCACAAACATGATAACCAATTTCACATGTATCTTAAACATTCTTCTTGATTACAAAGTGAAAAACAGTGCGGGGTGTGTGTGGACAATGATAAAGCAGCCGGCTGATCATATGTATCTGTCAAGAGCTGTCCCAGCTGCACAAATTCCACCGTTGCTGCAGAGACACTCGCTGATAAAGAAAAAAGAGCCTGGAAAATCAATGCACCTTGAGCAAGAGCAGTTGCTAAACACACAGAAAACATCTCTATCCAACAGGCCCAGCACTGCGAAAATTCCCAGGCCCTGCCCTGGGACAGCCAAGGAAAATTTAATCTCTCCAAATCCTCACCAGGGCACTCCATCCTGCAGCCCTGACAGCCACACTTATAATTAATTATACAATTTCGATGGGAATATCGACTAAACAAAGCTATAAATCATAGAAAAAGTCAATAGGCATGGACACATTCAATCATGTCCCGGCCAATGATTACTACTCTTAAAATACAATAATTATTTTCAGGAGCCAGCTTGAATTAAATTTCTGTCAGACGAGTACAAGACCGGTGGTTGATGAAGGATGCGATGGGTTTTAGGGCTGCGTTGGGCGCAGGCACATCCATCGTGCGGATGGGGCGTGTGTTTCAGTGCTCGTGGTGCTTGTGTCTGCCCAGGAAGGTCAGACCACCTCCGACGGCTCCTCAGGCCATTGATGGTGCCCCCCAGGGTTGCCTGGATGACCCCATTTCCTGTGTGAGGCTGATACGGAAGCTGACTTCTGCAGGTGCTGGGCAGTCCAGCAGGGGCACGAGACAGGCACATCAACGTGAGCCTATGAGCCGTTTTTGAAGGCACCAGTACCGCAAGGTGCTGAACACCCGGGATTGGTGCCAGTGGGTGGGTGCCGCTGCCGCGGCCGCCCTCCAGTGTGGCTCCCTGGAGAAACCACAGGAAGAGCGTGCAAAGGCCGGGCGCCCCGCAGACCATCTTCTCTCCACACCAGATTCCTGACGTGACACGACCACGCATACGTGAGGCTTTCCAAAACAACCACGTGGAAATGTACACTCTGATTCAACTCTGCTGTATTTTTTCATCTCAGAATCAAATTCGAAAATTCTCCTGAATATTCAAACTAACGTTCCTCCATCTTAAGAAAACCCACCAATTTCATATGCTGAAAAAATACAGAAATAAAGATGACTTCCAATAGTAGCAGCATTTGTTATTTCCAGTGGTGATCATATACTCTGTCTAAACGCTAAGAGAGGACATAGGGACTTTGGATACACATGTGACATTCACTCTCCATGTTTCTAGAACGTGCGCCTCCTCTCCATCTCCACTGCCCGCCCTGGCACAGACCCGTGTTTATCCCACAAGCCTCCTTCCTGCCAGTCTCCTCCTTCCTCCTTTTGGAATGTTCTGGCTCCTTGGCTGGCCCAGTACCATGTCCCCTGTGTCCACTGTTCTCCTCCCAGGCAGCCTCTGCCTTCTTCTCTCCCTGGTGGCCTCACTGCTCCTGCTTCAAGGGGCCATCTCTGTCAGGGGCCCTCAGAACCCACCACTGCCTGCCTTCTCCAAACTCAGACGGTCTTGCAGCTGCCCAGGGAGAGGATGGCACCTCGAGTCTCCTGGGGCTTCACCTTCAAATGGGCACACTCAGGGGCCCCCAAACTTGCCCCAGGGCCTCTCCTTTGCCCCAAGTGCTCCAGGCCCCACTGAAGCCACCAGGACACCACCCTCTTCAGCAGACAGCATGCAGGACATGGCCCCTGCCCTGTGGAGCCTCCTGTCTGAGAACCTGTAAATGTGCATGCACAGGGCGTGGGCCCCGCGGGGGACGCATGGGACAGTCAACCTCACCAGGGCCTGGGATCCCTCAGGAGGGCAGGCATGAGCTGCCAGGCCGCAGGGAAGAGTGTCCACAGGGGACGCACAGTGGAAGAGCAGGAAAGGGCGCTCAGAGTGCTGCCGGGGCTCAGGTGACGCAGGGCGCCTGCGTGCAGGGCGAGGAGGGAGAGACGCACCAAGATGGAGCAGTGAGCCAGGCCTCGCAGAGGAGACCAGGGCTCCAGGCCTCAACTGAGGCTGGCGAGAAGTCGCCAAGGGGCTATGACAAGCCCTGGCTGGGCTCTAGGCTGGGGGCGGACTGAGGGCAGGGGTGGCAGGAAGGCGGCAGTGAGGGGGCTCCTGCAGCGGGGAGGGGCGGCCCGGCGGAGGGAGGGAAAGACTCTGCGTGGAGGAGGCTACGCCCAGAAGTGGACTGACTGAGAGGGGAGAGGAGGCCCGGAGGCTGAACAAGTGGCAGAACGCTGACATGACCTCCAGGAGGAGATGCAGGAACACAGAGGGAAGAGCTGATGTGGGGGCTGTGGGGACGGGGCAGCACATGTGGTTTTGAAGGAGGGACAGGGGACTACAGAGTCCCTGGAGTGTCGTCAGCCCCATCACCCAGCTCTCAGATGTGCCCGGCCCTCTTCTAAGCACTTAGCACGCACAGAGCTGAGGAAGCCTCTCACACCCAGAGGAGAAACCGAGGCACAGATGTGGAGCCAAAGCACCCAGCACGGCCCGGTGTGAGTGCACGGAGGGGGCCTGAGGCAGACACGAGACAGAAGCATTGTCTAGAGCTGGAAACGCAAGGCCCAGGGGGTGACGAGGCCACCCAGGGGCACCCAGAGTGCAAAGAGCTGAGCCTGGGGACGGAGGGGGACCAGGGAGCTGACCCACGGGACACGTGGTCCATGTGGGGACGCTGCGGGAGGCAGGGTCTGAAGGCCAAGCACCGTCCCTGGACTTTGGAATACAGACGTCCTCGAGGGGGTAACGATGCTCTTAGTGGCACGGAGGCCAGACTGCAGGGGTGGGATGAGTGGGAGCTGAAAACGGGGACAGCAGTACAGACAGCCTCCGACCAGGGCAGGAAGTGCAAAGAGGGTGAGGCAGGTTCCTTGAGACGGGAAAGAGGGCAAAGCCTGGAAGGGCACAGTGCTCCCTGGAGCAGGAGGGAGGGAGCACTGCACACACAGGAGCAGCTGTGGGGTGAGGCAGCCCCGACCTGCCCTCGGGGCAGCCCTCCCACTTCTAAATGTGCACCCCCTGGGCAGCTTCCCAGGGCAGGGGCTGCCTCTGCACCCGAAGCCCCCGGGGGATCAAGAGGGACCAGAGCTGACTCTGACCAGCTCGAGAGCCAGTTCTTAAATTTTCAGAAATTTGGGAGCTGGTTGTTCAGCTTGGAACTGGCCACAGCGGGGGCATTTATTTATACCTCAGAGACTGGCAATGTCACACGCCCACCGTTCACCTGCCAGTCACTGTGACTGCACCAAGTGGGTATCCAACAAACACCTTAAAAATAGGCCCAAATCATGTCACAACAACAAGTAACCAGTCCAGCGAGTCTGGCCACCTCTCCCTGCTTCTCTGCACACAGCCCTGCAGGAGGACTAGGGGCTCAGAGCAGAGGGGCAGTTCCCGCAGCCAGGCTGCCTCTGGCAGGGACCAGGTCGACTGAGGTTTCAGCTCTCACTTCCAGTCACATGTGCTTCAGTCTGCACACGCGCACAGACACACACGTGCACACACCCATTAACAGGGACGCCTCGTCAAATGCACACTGTGCTTTCTCCCCATTCCAAACGAAGCCCCGGCCTCTGTCAACTGGCCCTGAGCCAGGGACCCAGCACTCAACCTCTCACACAGAAGGGTCTCGAATGCTGACGGCCGAATGAGAGGCAGGCCACCCGTTAACAAGACAGTGAGGCAGGTGGCTGCAGCCCAGGAACTGTCACCACAGAGAAGTGATGGGAGGGCGAGGGTTCCAACACCGAGCCCTGAGCTGTGACAGCATCCAGGAAACATGCCCAGGGAAGTAGAGGCCATGGAGGGGCCCAGGGTCATGTCACCCCAGAGCGGCCCCAAGGGTGTCGGTCACACGTCTGAGAGTAAAACTCACCGCAATGCCATTGTTGTCTCGGAAGACTTCCTGGTTGGAGTAGTCAAAGAGCTTCTTTTCCAGCTGGAGCATAACCTGCGTGCCAAACAAAGGGCCATCAGCACAGGTGGGAGCAGAGACCAGAGGCCTGGAGCAGAGCTCCCATTCCCCCAGCTCTGGGACAGCCACGGGCAGCCTGCAGCACATCAGAGACCCACAGTTACAGGCGAGCTTACCTTCCGGTCGTTGTCTGATTCTCGGAATATCAGCTTCACGACTTCATTGGTGTCGGCGGCCCGGACTGTCTGCATCGTGGCCTTTGTGCAGAGAGTCTGGGAAAGACATGGAAGGAACTCAGTCCCAGCAGAGGGTGCTCTGCCTGGCTGCCGCTGGGCTATCCGCACATGGCCTGACCGCGCTCTTTCCAGGCAGCTTCCTCATTGCTTCAACCCAATTTCACACCTCCATGTCAAGGGACCCCAGAGTAGCTCCCCAGGGGAAGGACACAGGAAACACAGCTCCAAACGCTGTGGGACCACCAATCCTCTGGAGCAGAAGCAGGAGCTGACCAGCAGCGCCCAAAGGCAGACGTGTCCTGGACGAGTGCTGCACACCTGCAACAGGGCCCCTCCCTCCCTGCTGCACCTCTGCCTCCCTGAGCTGCTGCAGCTCCAACCCAACCCCGACAGGGAAGGTCTGCAGGAGGCTTTACTGAGAATAGCCTGAGCAGGTGCATTTCTACAGCAGAGGACGGAGGGACGGCTGGGGGGCTCATGACAGTGAGACCAGCCCCAGCGTGTGCCAGGGGGCAGTGGGACAGGACCCAGACAGGACCTCCGAGGGCCACACAAGGGGTCAGGAAGAGAAGAGGCCACCCTGGGGGCCTGAGGCAGGGATGCAGGCCAAGTGAGGGAGGGGGTGACGTCTGGGCAGCATCTGGTGGAGGGAGTGCTGTTGCTCTCCACAGGGACAGGCTGCACAACTGCCACGCTCCACGCAGCACGCCTGGGTCACAGAGAGCAGGCTACCATTTGATTGGCTAAAAAGTAAACCAGGGTTGTTCAGAAAATTCTTCTCATCTTAACCTGAGTGTGAGGCAGGGAAAGGCATCACGAGGTCGTGGGGGGACGTAAACGGGGTCACTCCCCACAGGAGGACACAGCTGCAGACCCCAGCCCTCCAGATAGGCTCCGCCACGCTGAGCACGCCCACAGGCAGCATGGAGTGAAGCCTGCTCTCTAGGCTCCGAGAGGGATGAAGGCACAGGACAGTGCGGGCACTCAGGAATACATTTAACAAAGGACGTGCCAGATGGGCACTGAAACCGACGAATCATCACAGAGAGAAACGAAAGCCTTGAATGGATGGTGAGACGCCCGGGTCCACAGTGTCGTGAGGCGGGGCAGTGGCCCCAGCCTGCTGGTCACACACTGCAGGAGTCCATTTACACACAGGTTGCCTCAGGCTGGGGTGGGCGTGGCAAGGAGTCTACCACTGGACTGTAGCTTGTATGTAAATAATACCTCAATGATACCTTTTTATTAAAAAAAAAGACCACTGCAACAAAACAACTGATTTTGCCTTTTTAGAAACACTCTCCTTTGCATGGGTCCTGGTGAAGTCCTGCTGCTGAGAACTGCTGCGCCCAGGAGAGCGGCTGCATGCAGGCTGGGAGCCCAGGCCTGTAGAGCAGTGCCGGCTTCGGAGGAGACCCCTCCTGCAGCAGGCCCTGGGCAGGGACCCGCTGACATGACCCCCGAAAGCCCCTTGGCAGCCTGAGACGCAGACCCCCTCCAGGGTTGCTTGGGACCAGGGACAGGCACTGCCCATCGTGGGCAGGGGAGGCGGCCGCTGCCGTCCCCAAAGTGCACCCCAGGACAGGCCATTGACATTCAGAGCACAGAGCAGCCAAGCGGGTGAAGACCCCAAAGTGGCTTTTGGACTCATGTGTCACAAATCAGTCTGGCTGCTTTCAAACGCACGGATTAGAACAAGCGTGGAACAATCCAGAGCAGAGCGTGGCCACCCTGCCCATCCTGCCTCCCGAGGAGGTCTGGCTCCATCCAGATGCTAATGTGCTTAAGTGGCTTAAGCGCTTCCCTGAATGGGAGAGGCCTCTGGCAGGCAGACGGCCATTGTAGCCACCCCAGGACGAGATTCAGGATATTCATGGTTCTTCTCCCAAAGGCATCTGCTGGAAACTTTTTTAAAAAACTGCTTTATCTCACCACTTCAGGCGGGCTCCCAAAGGCTAAACATCTGATCAGCACCGGGTGCACAGAGGGCCGCCTACCCGCGTGCCTCCAGTTCTTCGGGCCCTTTCTCTCACACCCCTCTCACGGAGCCACCCATTCACCAGGTTTTAAAGAAGTGATTGGGCGGGCCTTTCAATCAGCAGTCATGACCACTCATGCAGAAACTCGCAGGGCTGGGGCCTTTCCAGCTCGCCTACTTATGGAAGGGATTTTTCTCTTTTGAAAGGAGAAAAAAATACCCAAAATGCTACTTTTAAAGAGCCAGCTAGCATTTATTTCATTATTAGCATCCACACGAAGGGGCACCTGAAAGGGTGGCCAGCACTTTGACTCATTGGCACTACGAGCGCTTGGTTTTTCTTTTGGAATTTAATGGACCGCTGTCGCCAAGGTTATCCTTGTTGTGTGGAGAACGAAATTCCTGCATTTCTTCTCAGTCTAGACAACTAGAGAAGCATGCTCCTGGAACGGGGCACCTGCAGGACCCAGGGCTCCGGTGCCAACCCACAAGGCTGTTTTCAGCGAAGCACAAAGTTTTACAGCCCATCTGATTCGCACAAAGCTACCGTGCTCAGAGGTGCCCACATGCAGCTGGCCCCATGCATCCCAGAGCTAAGTCTGCCCATCGCCCCCCACTCACCTGTCACAAACACTCCCCCCACAAAGTCTGAAACTCTATTAGAGGCAGAGCCTCTGGGTCCCTACCAGCCCCTACCAGCCCCTACCAGCCGGAGCCTTTAAATGCAGCCTTACAGGTCACTCTGAGCCCTCTGCCATGGAGGAAGAATCCCGTGCTCCATGGGCTGGAGGCCAGCCCCACATCAGAGCAGGTGCCCACCACACACCTCAACAACTGCAGGACAGAGCCCCAGGGGACTGGGCATGCGTGGCTCTTAGAAAGACGTTCACAAGTTCCATGCAAGAAAAGTTTTGGTCTGTGTTGGTAAGAGGTACATGAAACAAAAACTTATAAATATAGATTTAAAACTTTCTATCAGGAACAGGAACTGGGTAAGGCAGATTTAAAGACACAGGACTTTGCAAAGGTTTCTCATTTTAATTGCTAAGTTTCTAAATGATAAATAAAAGTTATAATGCTATCTCCCATGTATCCACTTCAAGAGGTTAGACGGTATTAAAAAAAAGCATCTCAATTTGCATTTACCAACAGCCTTAAAGCTTCAGATCCATTTACAATTCTGATTTTACAGAGCAGGTTTCCGCCTATGCAGCCTGGCTTAGCCACAGAGGCCTAGGGCAGCAGCTGACTGCAAAATGAGCCCACCTGACACTCACGGAAGTTTCCAAAGGACCTAGCACAGCCCCGGCCAGGTGGGCAGCACTCTTGAGTGTCCACACACACCAGGGTCACACACCTGCGGGCGCTGTGCACGCAGCCTCGTGCTGAGCTAGGAGCAAATCAGTGGAGGGCTGGGTGGGCATGGTCCCTGCTGCCTGGAGGTGATGGGGGGGTGGGGGGCAACTAGTGAGATGATGGCATCGCGAACAAAACAGGTGAAACCAGGGCAGGCGTGTGTGGGAGGCTCCAGGTGGAGGTCCAGCCTGCGCAAAGGCCAGGGACCGGCAGTCTGAGAGCCAGGGGCAGGTGTCTTCAGTCCAGGGGCTGTGGTGGGGAGGGGAACAGGGGAGGAGACGGGGAGGGGAGGAGAGAAGGCAAGTGGTCAGTGGGAGGTGAGCTGGGTCACAGCCATGTTTCAGAGGCAGAGTCTCTGGAGCCGGGGGCGGGCCATAGGGTGTGGAGAAGAGCTGAGGGGACGTGGCCCCCCTCGCGGAGCGCTGGGGCACCGCAGCGCAGCCATGGGCCCCATTGGCTTAGACCCCCACCCAGGGGCCCAGTGAGTTTCTTCTCTCCTCAGCTGCAGAAAGAGAATGAGAATGCATTTCCATTTTAGTTTTCCTCCACTGGACAAAACATAGGAAGTGATGTATGTATTGGAAGTATATTTTGAATTTAAAAATATTGTCTGGTTGAACATGTAAAGCTAGCCTTGCCTCTGTCTGCAAGGCCCTGTGTGGACTGGAAACACCCGTTTGGGTTTCCCTCTCCACCCGGAGGCAGAAGTCCTGACGAGCGAGAGTGCAGGGTCTCCAGGCTCCTGCAGGGCTCAGAAGCTGCCCACTTGGTCCACGGCCTGAGAGTGGGCACTGCTGTGGCAGGTTCTAGATGCCACTGAGGGTCACAGGGCAGGGAGGAACAAGTCTGGGACTCGGGAGTGGGGGAAATGCATCCCACAGGGGCAGGTTAGGGGTGAGCCTTTGGTCAGCATGTGCTCGAGCTCTTGCACCCTGCCCTCCAGCATGCTCCTGGTCCCCGGAGCCTGGCCTCCTGCTGTGGGAGGATTACTGAGGCTGGCACGAGGCCAAGGCCAGCAGGACTGCAAAGGCGGGAAGCTGGGCTCCGGGTGCTGCAGAGTCACCGGAAGCAGTTCAGAAACAACCTGCTTGGAGAGTGCCCTTTCTGCTGCAGTGATCTTCTCTAATTCCCTAACTGTCCTGGCAGCTGATAATGCTATTTCTGTTTGTTTTTGACACAAACAAGGCAATCTGTTAGTTGGTAAAGCCAGGAACTCTCTTCCTGTAAGGAGAGCCCACCTATGGGTGACAGCCTGGGTCCCCACCAAGAGCCACAGTTCCTTGGAACATTCTTGGCAGACAGTCCACACGTCTTGACCTTCCGGAAGCATTCTGAGGAGGGTGCCTGCTAGGGGACAGAGGCCCCCTGGTTCACCGTGACGGGTGGGCAAAGCTACCTGACCGGGTCCCAAGGATGCTGCTTTCCCTGCCGAGCCGCCCAGGGCGCCAGGGGAGCAGCAGGATGCACACACAGATGCATCCCAGGCCTGACACGGCCACTGGCTCTGCACACCCTGTCCCAAATCTGCACCGGGGTGGGGGGGGTGGGGACGGGGGCGCAGGATCCTTGACACACCGCCTGGACCTCGTGGGCGGGTGCTAGATGCTGCCTGGTCTGGCCAGAGCAGTGCTTTTGGAGGGCTGAGCAGGGCATTGTCTCGGGGCCGCCCATCACTCATCGAAGGCTGCACAAAGCAGTGGGG